CAATCTGGCAGCATGTATACTACTAGTCAAACGTTGCAAAACGCTTGATTGGTTGAGCTGGCGTTAAAAACGCAGCCCCATAAACTCTTAAGGGGCGTCTAAGTACTGACCGTTTAGGACGTAATCATTCTATTGCGGCAGTTAAATTCACGACGATGCTTAGAGGGGGAGGGGTTGGAGTGGACAAAGAGTAGTGTCGTTAAAAAGGTTTCATAAGAGATGAGAACAAAATGTACACTGAAGGACAAAACTGGCTTACAGAACTGGTGGAAATCTTGGTGGCCAGCCCTGCTTGCCGAGATGACCTCCACTGGTGACAAGCGAGATGACCTCCTCGTGGGAAAGACCGGAGAAGGGAAGAGCCGCGAAAGTGGCTATCTCCCACAGTACGACGCCGTAAGACCTATGTACGTGAAAGAAAAGTGCAGAAAATTAAGCGCCGAAAGCTCGGTCCTCAAAGCCACATCTCCATTTGCGTGTTTAGCCCAATTAAAGCGTGATGTAGATTTTAAAGCCTTTTTGATTCCTGAGACAGCGCATGCTCTGTGACGGCGCTGCAACCCTTAAATACTTGTACTTGGTCCGATTAGCTCCTGTTATCGTAATCGGCAAGGCTGGGTGTATGATGCTACATTTGGAAGTTTGAAACTCCTGCGACATTAGAGATTCGATCCCGCCAGGAGACTCTTAGGAGACGTCGAATACACCAACGGTAAAAGACTTCTAGCGATAGAATGTCTGCCTTTCTCACTGATCATTTTTCGCAGGCATATACTAGCATCGTCCTGATGGATGCTCTCTATAAAACCCTTAAATAGTACACACTTTAAGAAATTTATTTTCAGTTTCGAATCAATGTATATACTCTGAAAGTTCGATCAAGGTACAGCATATGTAGTAGCTCAGATATCCTTTAATCATGCAGAAAATTTGTAGAAGACGTAAATTGACACCAAATCTTTACAAGAAATAATATCTCGATTTCATGTTTTCCATAAAATATATTTGAATTTATAAGGACATTGTAAATTAATTAGAGAACACGTTACTATGAAAAGTAGCCATTTTTACAGTGTAGTTTTTGCAGGCGGTCAGAAGGAAGCTCGTTAAAAATCTAGCATCCTGCTATGACTGCAATAACGTTGTAGCATACTGCACCGTAATTAATATGGCAATCTTTCTTATGCAAACTTTTCGAAGCGAAAACAAATTTCGTTTCAAGGGATGGGAAATCTACCGTATTCGTCTATTGGCGTACTGCCAATCCACCTTCACGACATCAACCGAGGCATCCTACTACCGCCATAAGAGGCGATTGTTTCCTGCTAAACAACAACAACAGCTTGCCCTGGCTGTTAGGCTTTTACGGTAATCAGCCTATTGCTTTGGTGGTCGTAGTCAGCGGCAGGGTTCATTCCGGGGTTTCTGCAATCGCAAACCCAAACGTACGTTATCAGTAGGCAGGTTCGCAGGCAGATACTCGACAGAAGGCTGTTATTTGGTTGCGGTTTGTGCCCCCAAAGGTTAAAGCGTGGTAGATGCAGCGGACCAACACAGAAGCCAGATCAGGTCAGCGAAGGGGTTATACATCAGGCTGCGCTTGCACAACAAATGCCGAACATTGGGGACTTGGTGGCATGTGTGAGTGCACTCTTTAGCACTAGGCCCATGCCAACTCAGGCAACCGATCAGTTAGGTGGTGGGGGCAGAGGGTGAGGTCGACCGACAGCACATTTCTTTCCTCACTAAAAACAATCTGGTGCGCTTGGAGGGTCGCCAACTGACCGGATAACTCGGACACTGCAGTCAGCCCAGTGTGTGTCTTGTTGTTTGGAGTGGCTGACCGGCTGGCTGAGAGTCAGATTGCAATGGCTCCCGTTTAATGTGACTCTTGTGGCGCTCCCAGGCGGGAGTCTACCTAGCATGTTGGAGTGTGTTACGCACACACTGCCTGCGCCCTCCCCTATCTCTGGTCTTCTCAAATTTTGTCTTGATATCGGGTTCAGGTGTGGGAGGGGTCAGAGAGTGGGGATAGATCCGGCGAGTCCACCTATCCAGCTGTGTTCACCG